GTCACTGTTCGAAAAAGAATCGAGGAAATTGTCTTCGTATCGAGTGAGTTTAAACTAATATTTCAAATTCAGCTCTCTGATTCTATTTCCTTCTCCAGAGTAGAATTATTCACCCTCTAATTAAGAATTCCTTGTATGAGACATGCAACACCTTCTCATTGCTACATAATTCAACAGTTTTGGGCATGTTGATCTAATGAAATGCCAAGAATGCTGCCGTTAATGACTAATAATTTCGTAGTGTTTAGCGAAGCTTCTACTACTACATGCTGCTTTTCCTTTTATGTCGACTATTCAATTGGTTGAGTCATTTAGTTGCTCAAAGAATGCAGTTATTAGTTTTCTTAGTCAGCTGCGCATTTGTTGTTAACATATAGAGTACACATATTACGTATCAGCTTAATGAAACTTACTTTAGCTTATACTGCAAACTTTTATAAACAAATACAAGCTAATCATATGTCAAATAAGCGCGAGATTTATCACTATCACAGATCTCACATATTAACAAAGGTTGAAAATCTAAAAATAATCCAAACTTACAAAATTTTTTTCTTATCACCATTGTTTTCAGCGGATTTGATCGTGAATGTAGCGCCCAAGCATTGATCGACCTATTACCATCAATTGAATGCTTGGGAGAACCACGTCGTCTCCCTCGCACCATACTACCTCTCTGTGGAAACGGTATCGTCGAAGAGGATGAGGATTGTGATTGTGGACCAGCAAGGCGCGTTTTTACAATCCCTATGAAAGAACTTTTACCTTTGGTGATTCTTCGTTGAAAAGGTGTTCATCATCAAGAACAAATATGTGCGCTCTCAGCTGTTAACACTGAATTATTCACAACCTTACTATTGCAATAGCTGCTGTGAAAAGAAGTCCTTGATTTGAGTCGCATCATGAAGATCACTACATATGCAAGACAATGTTTTTTATTGAATGTGCATCGGCCTCGGTTATTGAGAAGCCAGAGGGCAGATGTCATTGGCCCAAACTGCTTTCAATTTTTTTCCCAAATT